GGGATAGCTTTTCACATAGTTGCGTTGGTCAAATTCTCTTGATTGAACGCGTCTTGGATCAACTGGGATATGTCAAAATATTAGATTAGAAATATTAGGTAATGTTACCATCTTCCTGATAGAATATAACATTTATTTGGGTATACCAACATATGATAATGACCATCAACTTATCAGCAAGTGTATAAAGCAGAATTGTAGAGTCAACGGAGTTGAGGTTATGTATCAGTCTGTTCAGTCTCCTGACCTCAAACCCATAAAAACCCTACTAAAACTAACCAATTCGAGTGATTTCTGGCAGTTAGTGAAAGAGATTTGGGAAGTATTACCCTTTTCAACATTGCCAGGATATCATAGACTCTCTTTCCAGGAAGTGTGTTGCTCTATTTAAAAAATCAAAGTTTTTCAAAGAAATATGATTAGATATATTATTCTAATATTCAGTAAAAGTTTAAAATCATTTAAATATAAATCTTTTGGAAATTTTCGTACTACATAAAATACTCCTATTTTAATATAATATATTGTATCAATGACTATATAATATTATTCTAATATTCAGTAAAAGTTTGAAATCATTTTAATATAAATCTTTTGGAAATTTTCGTACTACATAAAATACTCCTATTTTAATATAATATATTGTATCAATGACTTGTGCAAAAATTTTGAGACCTAAAACATGTTTTTTATTAAAAATTGAGAGATTCGTTTTCTTATTGACGTCACTATTATTTTTTTGTTGACAACTGTATATACAGTATTACAAAAAAAAAACTTAACTCAGTAATATTCGAGGGGAAATAATTTTTCAACTTTCAATAGTTTTGTAAAACTTTTTTTGCAATTTTTAATATTAAATAAACTTGAATAATAAGAAAAATGTAGTGAAGTTTTAGAGGTCATAGAGATATTTATATTTAAATTCGAAAAATTCAGGAATTTAAAAAATGCAATTTTTCGACTTATAAGGGATTTTACTTAAACACTTCACCAATAGGTGCTACAATACCTACATATTTTGCAAACGAACAAAAATATATATATTGCGAAGTAAGTAATTTTTTCAATTCAAAGTGGTATGGTTCAAGTTGGTTGTCATCGAAGTTATCTAACGGGAGGCCCAGGAAACCGCATTAGCGGTCGTCACAAAAACTAACCCTGGTAGTTATCAAAAGAAGAGAAATACTGAAAATTTTGTATTACCCATCACACGATTGTGGGTTTTGTATTTGGTAATATTTCTCTTATTATTTGCCACGTTTGTAAAACTCAGAAGATAGATAATGAATGATCAGCGTGAGGTGCTGAGGCTAGGCATGTCCGTCGTTGTTGTTGTAACAGTTATCCAGACCCTGTTTGTTTTTGTTTTGAGTCCCACAACACCCGCGTAATTTGTGATGACAAGGTCGATTGTCTTGTAAGTTACCAACAACGTTTCTTTGCCTTTTCCCATGTGTTGCTTTTGTTGCGGCTTTGTAATTTTGCAATAATCTGTTTATCTGTCATGAGGATCTGCGACTTTTTCCAACAATTTGGATAATATCCGAAACTGAAAATTGCATTCAAAAACAAGGACAGCATTACTACAGCAATATTTGGTAGCTCCATTAGCATTTTGGAGTAATTTTATCATGTTTTGTCGACTTTTTTTGATTCATTTCTTTTATGATATTAAATTTTTAATTTCACAACTAAAAGTTTTGATAGGCTAGAGCGACTCAATATCTGTGTCGGGCAAAGTTGAAAGCTTAAAAGTATTTTTTGACAATTAAGCTTAAATATAATCTCTAGATGGTTTGAAAAGCAAATTGACATTACCTCATCATTTCAAGCCTAATTACCTCTTACATCCCTTATAGCCATATTGGAATCAACCGGCGGCTTAATGTGTTTTTGCGCTTTCCAAAGAGAGTTATGTTTTTTTTTTTTTTTGAATTTGGGCTTTCCAAAGAGAGTTATGTTTTTTTTTGTTGAACTTGGGCTCAGCTGCTTTATATAATTTTCAGTGTTGTATTCTTCAGCAGACTTAAGCGCTTTTCTTAATTTATGTACAGCAGACTTCAATTGCAGCAGAGTGAAAGAGGATCGATTTACCTGCCCTTCACGTCTAGCTTGCCTTTTTTCAGTTACAAGCTTTTCTATATCAACATTTGTGATTTTTCTAAGACAAGAACTTGTTAGTTTTGTTTGGATAAAAAAGATAAAAACGGCTGTTGTGGGAATTATCAGTTCGGTCAGTTTCTATGGCACGGATAGATGATTCGACATTCTGCACAATGAATGACGAAGTCTCCATAAGAATTGTTGGTACCAGCATTAGTTCGCTTGATATTACCATCGCTACGCTGGTCTGATAGCCTAACCTTGTGACCTATGCTAACTATCCCATCAGACCATCTACTCATAAAGCCGCATCTTTGTCATCCTCAACAAAGCTAACGCTACACAGAATTTACTGAGCGAACCTTCAACGGTAGTGCGTTCTTCCTACGGTCGTAATCGTAGGCGAACGCCAATTCCGCATGGTGATCGCTACTGCTCGTTTCGTTCCGGCTGGAGATTCAATAACTGACTATCTATCATAAGCGGATAAAATGGGTGAAGCGTTTGAAGTCTGGTAACATCCCCACTTGTCCAATCCGAAGAAACACGAGGATCAGGTTGAAATCTAATACGATGAGCATACATCCTTGGACTCGAAGAAGTGCTGGTGCTATTTTATCCGGAAAGTTACACTGTATATTGTACCATATACAAGGCCAAAAGACGTGTTACCCTACAGCTACGCAAAATGCCAAAAGACTGTACCCCGCTTGCCTTCCCCTATGAGGAGGTTCAATTGTTATTACCAAGACGAAATCGTCAAAATGAATCGGCCCAAATGGCATAAGCAATAGAATTGCAAAACTATCGATCGGACTACTCGATAATTTCTATAGGTTAAAAAATACTATAGAAATCTACTTATTTTTCGTTGTTTTACATTAAGAGACTTTGGCATTGTACACTTCATTTTTCTGAAATACGCAAAAAAAATTATTAAAGTTACAATTTTTCAAACTGTTTTGAGAGTTGACGAGTTATATTAGAGTACATGTTTTATACATTTACTAATGTAATATGAGAACAGAAAATTTATACTTGAAATACGTTTCGGTTGAGTACTTTATTCTTCAATAATCCACATTATTTGTTTTAAAATAGTAATTTGCTGACGTTTTTAGCCTTTAGCGCTATCAGATATAGCAATTTAGCCTGGCTAAACATTCTCTCCGTCTCTGTAAAATTAAAATTAATTAACGTGATATTCATCTACTTATATGCACTGCAGGCAGACTAATGCCTCTGGGCGTATGTATAAGTATGTATGTATAAACAGGCATGTTCCAGAAACCAAATAAAATTGATGTGATTTTTATTTCACATCGAAACAATTTGAAGCAAATGACATTTGTTTTCAACTGATATGTAAATATTTTATTTCCAAAAATTTTGCAAGAACATGAGTGCTGCAGGGAGAGTATTGCAAAATAGAGACGTCACAAAGGACTAGACTTCTACGGGATAATTCAAATACGTTTGAGGTTGCTATTGTATGGTTTTAATACCGTTATTGACTATTTTTTATATATTTGTATTTAGCTTTGTATCACATTATCTAGAAAGTAACACCGTATATAAATGCATCAGCGATTCCACTTCTTCTACAACAGGTACTTTCACTGTTAAGATTTCTTACACAAGGATGTTTCCTTCGCTTAGTAATAATTCAATATTTTTATGTTTGTCCCTAAGTAGTAGGAAAATCATGCATTAATATTATTATATTTAGCAAAAGTTTGACAGTGAAAGAAAAGTTCTATTCCAGATCACCTTCCTCTACATAGCTCTGACCCCGTAAGGACCCATAGGACAGTTCAGTTAGAACTCCTATCATTGCGATGAGATTAACCTTGCTAAGGGAAAGTAATTCAAACGATCTCTTTGGACCAAAAAATCTCGCTATCGCACAGGTTCTGGTTGCTAACTAACGCTCATCAGCTTTGCAGTTCCCAGCGATTCCGCTGTGACCAAGCACCCAAACCAATCTGATATGGAAATTACTTCATGCTATTGCTAGTGAGGTTAAACATTCCTTAACAACCTTGAGTACTGGAAAACCGTGGCATCAAAAATTCTGAATCGCGGCTGCATTAATGAATAACTAGAGGTGCAGCCGTCATTTCAGAACATTAGAAATATTACCTAATATTTCCGCAACATTCCTTCTAATGCATCCAACACCTAATTAAGATGTAAAAAATAGTTAAATTTAATAATTTGTATATGATTTTTAAAAATTGTCTGTACTTATGAATTTGAAACTACATGCGCGCAACCAAGCCAATGATGAAAAGATGATTTTGAGACTACCATCCCCTCAAGCGCTGTCAGAGATTTCTGTTAAAGTTTCTATGAGTTTCTTAAAGCCTAAATGATAACTCTAACCTAAACTATTGTGTACGTGTGATCGTTCTGTGTTAATTCCTTCAATGTATTGGAGTTTGCGTAGCCGTGACTTGCTGCGATGTTATCCAAAATTAGACTTCACATTTGATATTACTAAACAATATCATTATGCAGATTTATTAAGAAATTTTGCAATTTTATGAATATTGTTGGTAAGTCTAGTTAAGCCATAAACCATCGATAGTCAAACTAACTAGTCCCATCGATTGTTTTACAGCTCTAACAAACATGTTGACTTACTTCTGTTAGATGACTTCGATAGCAATTAACTTACGACTTGCCACACAAGCAGGGTCTCGATAATCGATAAAAGACTTTATTTGTATTGAAAATTTGTTTACTCCTATACAAACTGGCCAGTCAAAATCACATATTATAGCTTCGGTACAATCGAAGTTATCGATTTTTTCTAGTTTTTTTTAATAAATTAAGACTGTTTTTTTTTTTACTATTTTATTTCATATATTTTAAAAACTTTCTATTTATAGTTTTGTCTTTGCAAGAGCTATGCTGCCGCACAATTGTTAGATGCACAACTGTATACGCGATTGATTCCTTAAGTTTGCCAACATCAGTGAAGTCAACACTAAAATCATATGCTCTAACAACATCTCAGAGTATTCATAACATCAATCATGGTTCCAGATTTAAATATCAATGTAAATATCCATTGAATCATAATCGAAATAGTTGTGCTATTTCATGATTAAATATGTAAATATTTTCACCGCTATTATATAAGTGTATATTGTAATTTCAAAACAAAAAGTACGATTTTGTTATTATATTTAATTTATTCTGATTTTGTGTCGTGAATAAATGGGTTTTAAAACAATATTTATATGTACGGGTGCGTTCGAGCTACGTAATAATTACAGCAGTACAGCAACTCTGTTGCACATTTGACACTTCGTTGCTGATACTGTTTGTGTTGCCAAAATTTTGCCAAAAAAATTTGCTCAATGGAAATTCATTTAATTGTCGATGAAATGGGAAAAAGCGAAGAACATTTTTTATTAAATTATGAAAAAAAAAGAAGAATTGCCAGAAAAAAACGGAATCTTTTATTGGAATCAATTTTGGAAAAAAGACGTGTAACAAAAGTACACCATTTCTTCAACACAATTGAGCAGTACGATAATGATGTATTCTTTTCCCACTTTCGCATGACTCCTCACACATTTGCCGTAAGTATTGTAATTAAAAACCAATTGTTTATAATATAACCAATGATTTTGATTTGTTTAGAAATTGACACATGCTCTGCAGCCGCATTGGTTAACCTTTAACACTCGCTACTCCCTGAAACAATCGCTGTATCTTACTCTATGGAAGCTAAGCAATAGTCGCGTAACGTACCGAGAACTCTCTGATCGGTTCTGCGTTGGAAAAGGAACAGCACATAAACTTTTTTTCATGACCATCAAAACCATATGCCAACTAAAAAATGAAATACTTTGGCCCACGCTTGTGGAGCAACAAAAAATTATGGAAGAGTTCCAATCAAAGAGAACAAATCCATTTCCATTTGTGGTTGGATGCATGGATGGAATCCATTTTAAAATAAACACCCCCAAAAAAGATGCAATCAGCTATTATGATCGTAAAGGAAATTTTTCGATAACTATGCAGGTAAAACGATGTATTATAAATATACCCTATTACAATATACAATTTTAGATTTATTTTTCTATCTAGGCGATTTGCGATAGCAACCTACGATTTTTAGACGTCTTTATTGGCTTTCCTGGAAGCTGTCACGACGCCAATGTCTGGAAAAATAGCCCAATTTACCAACAGATCACCTCCGGAGAAGCTCAGCTTGCGACCACGGCCGTAATATTAGCAGATTCGGCTTATCCGCTATCAAAATATTTGATGGTCCCGTATAGGGATAATGGACATCTTTCACCAGAAGAGAAAAAGTTTAACTACTACCTCAGTTCCACACGAGTGTTAGTCGAACAGTCGTTCGGCCTTTTAAGGCAGAAATTTAGAATACTTAATCACATCGACGTTTCAACCATAAAGAGTGCTTCGAAAATTGTAATGGCCTGTACTATATTACATAATTTTATATTATCCCACAGCAGTGATGCAACTTCAGACGATGACAATTTCTACCAATATAACAACGATACAGTGGCTGTTGACGAAAATATTAACGAAAGTAGTGAAGGTATTATCAAAAGGAATGAATTAAAAATGTTATTTTCGTCATAAATTTTTTATTTAAAAATAAATAGCATTACAAAAAAAATGTTTTACATGTTTTTTGTACGATCACATTCATGTTTGTACTACAATAGTTTGCAAAAAAAATTTAAGTTTATAGGAGATCATATACTTCAGGTAATTAATGTAATTAAATTCTATTCGCCAGAATTTCTCGCAACGCACTCAAAACGGAAATTTTTTCCTTTTCAATTTCTAGCTTCTCTCTCTCTAGTTGTACTAGTTCATCGTGGCGTTTTTGCTCCTGACTAGATTCCGCCTTTAAAAATGTTAATGTCTCGTTTTGCGATTTTTTGGAGCGTTTACTTGCACTTCCAAGGTAACTGTCCGAGTCACCGCAATCCGAGTCTTCGCACGTGGGACTTCCCAGGGAGGATAGCAAATTCTCCAATGGAGGCTCAATTGAGTGGCGGCTGCCATAAACAGCATTGAATTCTTCGAAATACTCCCAGCTGGTGGCATCCCTTCCTGTGGATTTATTCCTCTTTTTTATCCTCTTGTACGAGGCCAACATATTCAAAAATTTCCTCTGAATTGCCTCCTTTGAATCCTTTATTTCGGGATTCACTGCTTTCATAGACTCTAGGACTCTACCCCAAAGGACCGCTTTTTTCTTTTTGCCGGCTGCAAATTCGGCCTCCATATCGAGCCGGCATCTTATTAGTAACTTTATTATTGAACCCGATCTTTCGCTACAAATAAGTAAAAACACAATAACTTAAACATTTGTGTATATAAATTGATAAAATATGAAATAAATCACATTTACACTAACCTTTCTTCAACCATACTGTTCTGCAGACAAAATTTTTGTGTTGCTGAAATTTTGATAAATTGCGCGCAAAAAGTGACAGTAGAACGTGATGCTGTTGCAAGTGTTGCCAAAAATTCTCGCAGAACGTGATACTTTGACAAATTTGCAACACTGCTGTCGTGATTGCCATCTCGAACGCACCCTACATATATCCGCATTCAACGTTCATATAAAGGGGTTACGACAACTTTCATATCATATGTTTGATGACGAAGTTGGTCCTAGTTGATTGGTTGCTATTGTCTTTTTCATATGTTTACGTTCTTTTATACTTGAAATGGCCAAAAATATTAATTATAAAAAGCTACAAGCTGATAATGTATTTGTAAGTAACGTAAGAAATTGTATAAAAGATGCTTTTAAGTAGGGGTGCGTTCGACATGGCAATGACGACAGCGGTGTTGCAATATGTCTAAGTATCACGTTCTGCGTAAATTTTTGGCAACACCTGCAGCAGCATCACATTCCACTGTCACTCTCTGCACACAATTTATGCATATATTCGGCAACACTAAATTTTTGTCTGCACATCAGCAAATATGCAACACAGTAGCTGCAATTATTACGTAGCTCGATCGCACCCTAGTTTTGCATTTTAATAACTTGTTTTAGTCTTTAAAAATATTGTAATTTGATATATTATTTTTATTTTTCACAAAAAATGTACATACATAGCAACTCTAATTGTCTGATGACATTTTTAAGGAATGACATATTTAAATAAGTCAAATCTATTATAAAATTGGTATATTCGCAACGGACGGACATTGTTTTTAAAAAGCGATCATGAAATTTGATTTGTACACATTTTTTTTATAAGATCTACGTTTCTGAAGTGGTAATAATTGTATTCAAGGACCTAATACGGTTTTCAACCTACCTGCATTTTGGTTGAAGTTTTGACATTCCGTATTATGGTTACCAACTCAACCCGTCAAAAAAAATTTCGAAGTGTTGTCAAACTTCAACTTTTTGGTTCGACGGTTTGACTACCTACAGTTCTAGTTATAGATTAATGAATTTATTTGGGAAAAATATTAATTGAAAATGGAAACTGGTTAAAAATAACAATTTCTTTTATAATTTTAAACTATTTTAATCAGTTATGTATTGTACAAATGTGAAAAATTTGTTGAGCTCAAAGGAAAAATAAAATTAAGGGACCGTAGGATGTGTTTCGTTCATAAAAAGTCGTCTACGATCTACTACTACTAGGAATATATGTAGTTTTTGAGTAAAATTGAATTTTTGAAGGGTTTTGCTCTTCTTCAGTCATTTGTGTTTCATCCACAGCGCACAAATATGGTGTGCATAATAATTAAAAGCAGGCTTTTACCAACCATAGTTGCTTCAGCCCAAAGTTAAAATCATTTAAAAGGCATTCTTGTTAACTACCGGCAGCAAGAAAATGCAGAGTTTGTGTCAATGTTCCTTCATCTCATTAGAAAAAATAAAATTATTCCTCATTTAAACGAAAATAACTTATGAATCGGCAATAAACATTATTTAAAAATCATTTAATTGTCAATAAAATTTGGCGTCAGCTTTGATTGTCCTCGTATATTAATGTTGAATTCTTTATTGCCTCGTTCATATCCACCAGTAATCTCCGCAACTAGATAGTTTCTTGACAAGTGTCTGAGAAAGCGATGAATTCTACCTCCGTTGAAGAAAGTAAAACACAAGTTTGTTTTCTTCAATTTACGTCTGAATATCCAACAACTACTCTCCGTTGACTCCACTGTTTCAGTTATGATGTTCCTTTGAGGTACCTGACGACTCTTTTGAGCTGTTCCCAATTTTCTTTACATGGACTTGAAGTCTTTTGAGATAAAATATTAACACTTGCTGTTATCTCTGGCCTCGTGTTGATGGAAATATACAAAAGACATCCGAGTATCTTCTAATAGTCTTTGTTGTTGATAATTCAGGTAGTTCATAGGCCACCGCTTCAGCCCTGGAGGGAGCGGTGATTGTTCTAGGTCCTCAAGTAGCGTTGTGTGATTGACTGTGTCAAAAGCTTTTGACAAGTCCAACGCTACGAGGATCGTCCTCTCGCAGGGTGGCTTCTGGTTCAGGCCATGAACTATCTGGGCGTTTATGACGCTAAGTGCTGTGGTGGTACTGTGCACTTTACGGAAGCCATGCTGATGATCTGCTAGGCTCAGGTGGTGAGTGAACGTCGGGAGTAGCAAGGCCTCAAGTGTCTTCACTACTGGGGAAAAGAGTTATCGGGCGATACGACTCCCCTTTGTTTGCTGGTTTCCCAGGTTTCAGTAGTGGGACCACTCTTCCGACTTTCCACACATCGGGTATTTGAAGAGTGGATATCGACAGGTTGAGGACCTTGGTGAGATAATTTACTTCCGTTGGGCCTAGGTGTTTTAACATCAGCATGGTTACTCCGTCAGGGCCAATGGACTTAGACGATTTCGCCTTTTTGATGACACTCTGAACCTCCCCATCGGTGAAAGTAAGTGGTGCACAGTCTTTTGGCATTTTGCGCAGCCGTCGGGTAACACATCGTTTGGCCTAGTCAGTCGAAGGGTGCAGTGTAAATTGTCGGCTGAAATAGCTCGCGCACTTCTTCGGGTCCGAGGAGGCATGACCATCGAATTGAATTTCAACCCGATCGTCATGTCTTCTCGGATTTGACAGGGCCTTGACAGTAGTCCAAAGCTTACTCACACCGGTGGAGAGGTTGCAGGACTTCAGGTGCTCTATCCATTTTGTCCGCTTATGATGATTTACCATTTGCCGAATCTCAGTAAATTCTGTGAAGCCGACCCAGTTAGCTTTGTTAAAGTTAACATAAGTGCGGTTGTCCACAGAAATAAAGTCAGGAGGTTTCTCGATCGAGATAATTATGGGCAGATGGTCTGATGCAAGAGTTAGCATAGGTCGCCAGGTTATACTATTTATCAGACCACCGCTAGCGATGGTAATATCTGGCGAGCTATTACAGGTGCCCATAATTCTGGTGGGGGCTTCGTCATTAATTGTGCAGAATGTCGAAGCGTCTATGTGTTCCGCCAGCTCCATCCCCCTACGATCGTTTGACAGGCAGGAATGCCAAAGATCGTGATGCGCGTTAAAGTCGCCTAGCACCAAACGGTTTTCACCACGAAGGAGCGCATCTATGTTCGGGTGATATCCTGTTGGGCAACATGTAACTGGGGGGATGTATATATTAAATATTTCGAGCTCGACATCGCCTGACCGGACAGCTATACCCGGACATTCTAGGGTAGTGTCCCTACGGTCGATGTCAACATCGATAAGACGATACTGCACGGTGTTGTGCAATATGAAGGCTAGGCCTCCACCATTATCTCGCTCGCGATCCTTACGTAAAACGTTGAAACCTGCACAACTCAGAAGATCTGAGCGGCTGTTTAACTTGGTTTCTTGGACCGCAGCTATCGTTACGCGCTCCTGGCTCATGAATGCAACTATCTCCTCGATCTTACTTTGGAGCCCGTTGCAGTTGAATTGTAAGAGTCGCGTTTGTCGCGGCTGTCCAGTCGTGATCCTAGGGGTGAGTGGGGTGCGTGTAGGTGGTGGTTGTTGCAGCTGTACTATCCGCATGGGCGGTTGTCGCACTGTGGTGTTGATTGGCGACGCCACTGTATGTGATTGCGGGGGCAGACTCCTACAGCATGGGGCAACGTACGACGCACTCCACTGTCGTGTGGTGCGCAGACCAGAACACGTAAGAAAGTGACACCAGCCTGAACAGACTGTGCGAGGAACCAGGAGTTGCTGGCTGGTTCTCGCACGAGGATTGGAGCTGGATGAAGGTTTGGGGGGAGGTTGGTCAGATTGGGAGTCATGCTGTCTGTGTGAGCTCCTTAGGACCGTGGAGGTCCTATCTTGGACACTCGACTGGAGTAGCAGAGCAGTGCGCTAACATGGTGCAGGTTGCACAGCCGCATGTCGCATTATTGCGTTGACAGCATGGGGCCACGTAACTTGTGGTCCACTCCCTATGTGTCTTATGGCTGAACAGGTCTTAAGATGGAACCGCAGAACTGGCTTTTGTGGGAATTGAATATGAGTTTTCGCCGCTATTGCCTCCTCGAGTACAAACATGTTCGTCTCTGGTAACCTCTATTCCGAGGTAATGCTTTATTTTTACCAAGATCTATGATTTCGAATTTTGAAGCAAGTGGTTTCCTTATTACTTCAACTTGGTCCCTAGTTCTGCAAACAAGCAAAATATCGTCTGCGTAAATCAAAACGTAGCACTAGTCATTTTCAATCTTCGCGAAATCTCCGTCGATCAAGGTTTCGTTCACCTTTTCGTACCAAGTTGTTTTAGTCCAAATGACCGTTTTCAGCGACCCTTTGAGAAATGCAGTTTTTGCATTAAAATGATGAACCTTCATTTTTCTTCTTCTTGCAGCTGATAAAAGAATTCTAAATTTCGATTAATGACCAACTGGAGCGAAAACTTCGTTAAAGTCCATCTCGCATTTCTGTGACAAACCTTGTGCCACTAGTCTGGCTTTATACTGCTGTACTACTTTTTCACCTTGAATACCCATTTACAGCCAATCGCTGCTCTTTTCTCAGATAGATCTGGCAGTTCCCACGTGCTGTTTTTCTTGAGTGACTCCATCTCCTCCTGCATGGTAACTATCCATTTATTTCTGTTTTTGCTTACATTCCTGATAATCTTTGGGCTCTTCAATCGTTAATTTTTATTTCTTCAATAAATTTTGGTGGAGGTTTTCCTTTCGTAAACTCAGAGGATCTCCTTTGAGGACCTCTGTACCAGCTCAGCTTGAACGTCCTCTTCTTCTGTTCCCTCCTCCTCGATTTCGTTGTCAAAAAAGTACCCTAAGCAGGAGGCGACCTACCTTACATCCCTATAAACTGCCTATGTCGTTTCAAAATTACAGATAGCTCATTCAAAGACTTTTTTGGTACCTTAAGAAAAGCATAAGCGAATTTAATGATATAATATAATAATAATTCTAGTGAGGACAGACACTCCTTGACTAGCTTTCAATGCACGGTTCGCGCACTCAGGGCTTGTATTGCCGCTCTGCTGTCGGAGTGAATGCTCACCTCTCTAAACGAAGATGCACTTCGTAACAGTACCTCTACCGCCACCTTGATGGCGGCCACTCTTTACAGAAAACCCCCCCTCCAACTTTCCCTCCTAGCTTCGATCCATCCGTGAAAAAGCTCACCGCGCCTTCTTCCCCTCCACATCTTCCTCGTCGGGATATGAGCAGAGAAAAAGCCGCCTCGAGTGGCCGCTGTGACGCAGTGATCCAAATTTTCAGGTATGTAGCTGAAGGATCAGAGAATTGTAGCGTGTCCTTGTTCGGACCTTTTCAAAAGCCTAGCTTCCCTGAGCCTAATAGCACACCTAGCAGCAATGCACCTACCGGCAATGTCCACAGGTGCTACATTTAATATAGCGTTGAGAGCTATCGTTGGTGTGGTTCGCTGTGCACCAGAGATTCTGATGAGCGCCGCTCTTTGGACTCGCTCAATCTTTTTAGCCAGGGTAGTCTTTTCGAGCGCCCTCCACCAGACGAACACCATAGAACAATATTGGCTTGACTACGGTTTCGTAGAGTCAGAGCACCACCTTTGGTGAGAGTCCCCACCTTTTCCCTATTGCTCCCCTGCAGCAATATAAGGCGACCAATGCCTTCTTGACTCTCTCCTCAATGTTCGGCCTCCAAGAAAGCTTTCTATTAAGGACAAGCCCTAGGTATTTCACCTTATCAACATGTTGAAGACGTGCACCCCCGAAAGAGGGAAGAGGCACGTTTTGGGTCTTATACCTCCTAGTAAATAAAACCATCTCGGTTTTACTTGGGTTGACAGCTAGGCCGCTTCTATTTGGCCAGTTGGATACCACGTTTAGATACCCTTCGGTGAGCTCATAGACGGTATTCAGGAATTTACCTTTAACCATAAGAACCACCTCATCAGCATAGGCTGCTCCTCCCAGATTCAGAGCAGTGGGGAGAGTATTCCTCCCTGTGGAATTCCCCTATTAACCTTTCTGGTTGACTTGGCACTACCCCACTGCGCTACGAAAGTTCTGTCGCAAAGAAGATTGAAAATGAGGTGTTTGAGGTTCGATTCCACCTCAAAATTTTCGAGGGCTTTAACCACTGCCTCTGGCCGAACGTTATCGAAGGCCCACTAGATTTCGAGAAAGGTGCCCATTGCAAATTCTTTGTGCAACAGCGCTATCTCCAGCCATGACACTACATCATGCAAAGCAGTGTCGACCGACCTGCCCTTGATATAGGCATGCTGCGCCCGTAACAGTTTACCCCTCGGTATTCTGCACCTAATGTACAGATCCATAAGTCTCTCCAGCGTTTACAACAGACTCGAGGATAGGCTGATGGGTCTGAAATCTTTTGCACCGATATGAGAGCTTTTACCGGCCTTCGGTATAAACGTAACCTTTACCTGTCTCCAGGCCTTCGGGACATGGCCCAATCTAACACATTTCGCGTAGATGGGGGCCAGCCAGCTACATGACACCTTAACCGTACGCTGAAGTTGCGCCGGTATGATGCCATCAGGACTCGGGGACTTGATGCCATCAGGACTCGGGGGGGTGACGGTCATCCAGAAGGTACAAGAAGGCTGTACAGCCTTCCTGAAGCTCCCCCAGTGACACTTCTTCAGTAGAGCGACTCAGCGGAAAATGAGCATCTAGGCGTAGCTTCAGCGACTCCTTGCTACTCGTAATCCACCCGCTATCTGCATTTCTTAGATACC